AGTCCCACATCGGGCTCCCTGCTCAGCGGGGAGCCTACTTCTCCCTCTCCCTCTACCTGCCACTCCCCCTACTTGTGCTCTCTCTCTGACAAATAAATAAAAATCTTTAATAAAACAAAACAAAAAAACTTTTAGACATAGTCTATCATGCCTATGATAGCTAAACATATCAGGACATGACATATTTAGTGTGTTGAGACAAGTTTTGAAAATATTAATATGCCCTGGTCCAAATTAGTAAGCTGGACTACAGACATGGCTTCTGGAATGGTCACATTCAACATTGGACTTGCCTGCAGTACTTCAGTCCAAGATGGTAACAGTTTGCAAGGGCACTGCATTTAGACATTTTTTAACTCATTCAGGAGGGAGAACTAAAACTTCTAAAATGTAACAATGTGAACACTGTTTGCCCAGTGGCCTAAAGCCATAGACACTTCATGGTTGCCGGACGACGTGTGGCAGAGTGCCAAAACGGGGAGCTCAGAGGAATTGGTTTTTGTCCTGGTGACAAAGAGATTTTTATTAATTTTGGGGGAAAAATAGACATGCTAATGCAATCCAAAGGAAAATACCACCACATTTCACCAGCAAAGGGCAAAGACAGATTTAACCTTTTAGGTTGACATTGACCCATCCCCCAAACTTTGGACTCTACAAAGGTGTTCACGTGTAACTTCGTAAGGAGTGACAGATCTCGGTTTCCTTCCCTCAAATCCAGCTACGGCAATGAAAGCGAAACATTTCCAACATTATAGATTTGAAGACTGAACGGCAAAGAAATTCTCGGGTTTAAAGTTTATGAGATGACTGAGCGATTCACGCTCTGGTTTACGACTCATCGTATGGATAAGAGCTACAAATGGACACTGTGGCACCACACTAGAGTGGAAGCAAACACAGTGATGTGAGAAGAGCAGAATGTCACAAACGAGGGCGCTTGGGTGGCTCAGTGGGTTAAGCATCTGCCTTCGGCTCAGGTCAGGATCCCAGGGTCCTGAGACTGGGCTCCTTGCTCAGCAGGGAGTCTGCTTCTCCCTCTGCCCTCCCCGCCCCTTTGCTCTCTCTCTCTCAAATAACTAAATAAAACCTTAAAAAAAAAGAATGTCACGAACATCTCAAGAGTAACTACTTTAACCAAAAAAAAAAAAAAATCACTGTGCATGAATCTATCCATATTCAGAACCCCTACATTTGTGAACAGCTGTTTTTCACTATGAAACTGAATAAAACTCAATGTCAACGCCTGTAAAAGGGCTTAAGGTTGAGCACAGAACACAAGACTTGACGTTGTCATCTTTGTACCAAAAACAACAACAACAAAAAACCTGTCAGGTTTCTGTGTTCTACTCCAAAGCATAATGACTTACTAAATAAAAACACAGGATAAAATATGAACTTTAAAGTGTAATAAATGACTTATTAAAATGTGTATTTTGATTTTTCAATTTCAAATTGAGAACATAATCTCTGCTATCACACATATTTCTATTATGACCTTACAAGAACACATCTGGGGAAACAGAGAAAGACTGACTCTATTTCTGGCAGTTGATTTTAATTATACTCACTCTGTGTCACTGGTTTATTTTTCCCTTCCAGGACCTGCAGACACCCAAGTCTACAATCTCTGCACCAGCCTGTGAGTTTCTCGCGTACAGAAACTCTGGTGGCATATTACTCAGCCAGCTTGCCCCATTTGTTCATCGATAATTTAACAAATGCGTCTTGATGCGCCTCCTATCTACCTGGCACGGCAGCTAGCTAGTGCTGTACTTACAAAAGCAGTTAAGACAGTTCTTGCAAGCCTCCGGGACTTCAGGTTCCAGCTGGACACAGAGTAAGTCTTCGCTAAATGTTTGAATTGCCTTGATGGGCTGTCTGAGTCCTACCATGGAAAATAAGTCCTGAGTTACATGATCTATGGACCCCCAAGACGTTAGTTGCAATGTAGAAGGTAATATTAACAGCTTATAAAACCCATCCCCAAGAGAAAAATTATTCCTGTCTGCAGGGTTTGATTTGTGCAAGCATCTGGCACAATGGGAAGCATCAAGTTTTGCTTTCAGGGTGACTAAAATATAAGTCCCTGAAGCTAATTAGTAAATTAGCATATAGGCTCATTCACCTGAGCCCCCTTGCAAGGCCTTTCCTGTTTTGCTGCAGAAAGTAACCTTCTCCCAGGAGAGGCAATTGAAACGTACCTCTGTACAAACATGGCTTTGTCTTCTTGGACTGTGAATTTATTTGTCTTTGTTACCACATTTGAAATCCAAAGGATTGTGCTTCTCATCCTGTTGCATTCAGCTCCGCAGGGTTAATGCAGTGGGCGGTGGTACATTGTCCCCACGCATAAACTTTTCCTTAGGTTAATTGTCTCCTAAGACACAGCTGGGCTGATATCCCAGGACATGGAATGAGGCTCCTTGCTGAGCTATGGGACCAGACTGGGCTAGATTTAAAGGCACAGGAGACAATTAGAGATGGCCTACGGGGTTTTGAGGTTAAAATGGAAAATACAGAAAATAAATGTAAGGTACTCTCACAGTCCCATTTTAAGAGATATTCAATTTCTTATCTTTAATTAACACAGAAGTAGATTCTCTCGTCTCGCATAAGTTTTTAGTTATTTGATAAAATTGTCCTTCTTCCACTATGTTAATCAATGTAACCCGGCTGAATTCTAATATAATTCAATGCTATTTTAATGGCATTTTATTGAGTGCCCATCCTATGCAAGGTCCTGTAGGCAGGCCGCTCTGGAGGCAAGAGAGCACCTAAACAGGTTTTCCATCAAAGACAGAGTGAAGAATGAATAGAATTGATTAAGGGGAAAAGATGAGCTACAAAATACAGGCAATTTGATCAGCACGTTCAAAGGAGCAAAAGAATGAAACATCATGGTGGGCAAGAAGGAAATCTAAATTGTTTGGGGCCTGGGACAGCAGGGAAAGGGGAGACTCGGGAGCTGGGTCTTCAACCAGTGGGTCTGGGATCCAGGCACTGTTCAAGGGAGGGCTTTGAAATTCTTTTTTAAGTTATATTTTCCGGGCAACACACTTGGTGATTTAGATTCATTAGGTGTGGAAAGGGGGCCCCCAAATCTTTATTTTTTGAAATCCTTTCCAGGTTTCAGTTCAAGATGGCGGGTTGAGCTCGAACCTTTGTCTTCCTTCTCTTCTTCCCCAAGCCCTGTTGCAATTACAGTAAAAAAGGACCAAGATGGATCACCCATAACAGCGAGGTAAATAGAAAAATTGCAAAGGGGCTGGAGCGGTAATCTAGTGCTTAAAGTTAGAGACAGAATGGAAGCATAATGAAAGCTAAACCCAGTGGGGGGAGCTCTGGCCCTCCACCTCAGGAGAAGCCTGTTATACAATTTCTGGCAGAGCCACAGAGAGGCTTCAAAATAGGTGTAAGCAGGAGTGGGTCATGAATAATGTCACAAAAAAATAAAATGATGAGGAGAGTGTCTAGGGAACAGCGGAAGCCTCCACATCCAACTCATGAAGAATAACTGGGAAGCCACTTTTAATGATTTGGAGTAGATGCATTTTGAAAAAAAGGTATTTGAGAAATCCAAGAGATACGATTTCTAGCCTGATTTACTCCTCCCCAACTGGAAGAATAAGACTCACAGCAAAAGAAGCCCTCCCTAAAATTCCCTGGAGGGCTGGGAGTGAGCATCCCCCCCTCCCGCCTCTACAAGGACCCCTGACTCAGACCTCGCCGGGGACTGAGCAGAAAGTATGGAAGGAAATGAGAACATTGTTGCACACGCCACAGAGCACTAATAACACGTGGTCTTCGTGGTCATTTCTATTAACATAATAGGGTGGCATGAGAACCTTAAGGTCAAGCCCGCAAACCACCCAGCCATATCTGAGGGTGCCCCTTCAGACAGGGGCAGTGGGGCCTGAACTTTCTCTTTGAATTACATCTCTCAGGAAAGGAGGCATTCTCTGATAGATAGAGCTGCAAAGGAAGAACCAAGTGTGATTTTCTTTTTCTTTTTTTTAGTTTTTATTTATTCATTTGAGAGAGTGAGAGATAGAGAGCACAAGCAGGGGGAGTGGCAGAGGGAGAGGGAGAAGCAGACTCCCCACTGAGCAGGGAGCCCCATGTCGGACTCGATCCCAGGACCCTGGATCATAACATGAGCTGAAGGCAGACGCTTAACCCACTGAGCCACGCAGGCGCCCCTGATTTTCTTTTATTATTCTTGTTTGTTCACTGGAGAAGGGAAACAGCCAGCATCTGTCGGCTGGGTTTGGTGCTAGAAGAATCCCACACTAGATCTGGCTCCAAAGGGCAAAGGTGGCCAGGGGTCCACAGTTCAATGTTCTAAGGGGATCCAATCCATGGTGGGAAGCTCAGCAGCAAGTGAACCCACCCCGAGAGCAAGTTTTGGGGCATGAAACAGCCCTCAGTCACTAGGGAGAAAGGGTGCTGTTCCTCCTGGGAACACACTTTCAAGGACGCAGACTGTTTTCGGAGCTCCCTCCAAATGGACTGAGCTACACCTGTCCCAACAGGAGGACTGTAGGGAAAGACGTGGACAAGGCAGAAGCCTGGCCGTCTAAATGGTGCGAAGAGACATGCAAGATGCATACAAGGCAGATCGCTGTTTCCTTTGGCGTCACGACCCCGTTCCGCCCTGGACCCCACTAGATTTCAGGTTCCAGTCTGGAAAACCTGGCCCTGCTTTGGACAGAGTAAGTTGAAACAATCTCACTGAATCTTCCACTTGAAGGTCCTCTGAGATTTCAGATGAGAGAGCTGAAGGAAGGAAAGACCCTAATATTGAGAAATTAAGTAGCTTTTTGAGGGAAGGGGGTCTCTAATATTTTTCACATTAAAAAAAACAAAAAACAAAAAAACATTGAATGCAATTGCATGCAATGTCCTTTGCTCTACCGTGAGCTTGTGTGGCTGATTTTCACAGCACAGCTCCCTGGGACCTTCGGGTCTTTCTTCCCCACGCCCACAGAGCCAGCCTTTGGCCAAGCTATGAGGGTGGTCACACATCTGGGGGGAATGAGGTGAACCTCTGGAGGAGGGGCTGGGGGAGAACTGAATAGCCCCTCAGCATGTGTCTCTAGTGAGTTTAATTCTGGTAGGTTCTGACCTCCAGATTTTTGAACAGAATCATCTCCTGCTCACAAACTTGGCTTTGTTTATCCATGAATGAGCCACTTTTCAGCCTACAGTCCACGTAGGAAACCAAGCCGCCCAGAGCCCAGGACAGCCTGGTAGAACCCAACATTTGCACAATCTCCACGCCCACCCCGTCCTCCACAATGGGCCATTGAAAATGCCTCTTGCCTTACCAGCTCCAATCTTGGGCCGTCCAGTAAAGACAACTGGTTGTTTTAAATGCTCCTCTTCTCCATCTTGATCTGTAAGGATATTCCCCGTGGATCCATTTTTTTTTGTTTTCCCATTTAAATATCCATTTTCGCTCTCTGGCCTGACTCCCCAGTAGCCTTGTACCGATTCTGCCTGAATACATCCTTTGCTTTTGAAACCACCAGGCACACAGATGTTAGTTCTAATGTCTGTTTGTAGAAGTCAGCTCTAAAATTTAAAACACAATAGAATCTCTCCACAGGGTGAGATCACAGTTGTCAAGTAGCCCTTTTAGGAACATCGGGGCGAAATAATAGAATCTTCACTTCCTTTCTGAGGTGGCTGCAATAATATTTACAGTAATGTGGCTTCTCAACAAACTCTTAATTTGAATGGGCTGTTTATGTTCTGTTTACAGGAGGCACACCTAGGTATGATGTCCACTAACCACAGGAGAGCTGGACTCAATGAGTTCCTTTCTTTGCACTAAATGTGTTTCATGTGAATAGTTCTCCATACGCTTACAGCAACAGTGTGAGCAATAAGAGCTTGCGTGGGTGTGAAATAAATTGGACCCTGGCTATCTCAATCACTTCAAGCAGACTGATTAGTCCAGTTCTAGAGATAGATGGGCTCCTTCTGGAAGCGTGGGTACTGGCCTCTGCGGAAGGAGTGCCCACACACACCAGAGGGATGGTAGGGTGCTAGCAGATCTGCACCTATGGGTTTCTCCCACCAGATGCTCCAGGCTCAGGGCCCAAATCTGTGACGCCAGAAGCTTTGGGATAACTTCAGAACCTTGTGTGGGATTGCTGCCAACATTCCCCCCCACTTCTCAACTGTTCACCTGTTGAGAGCTCCAAGGGGAGGAAATGTCACAGATGTATCCCTGCACCTGCTCAAAGACATTTCCATCAGAAATCACCCTTCATAATAGGAGAAGGAGGTTGTAAAGCCAAATCAATAAAACAGGCATGCTGAACAATATCAAACCAGACAGGAAGAAAAGCCAGAAACCAAGGGTTGGCCTGTATGCTGGAAGCTGGAAGACCATATCAGTGAAGACATTGATGCCAAAATGTGGGAGGATATTAGAAGCTAGCAGATACAAAAGTAAAGGGATGGTTTAAAAATTATCTGCATGTCCTTTGACACTCTTCCCTTGGAAGTAAAGTTTAATTTCCTTCTCTGTGAATATGGATCAAGCCTCAGTGACTTGCTCGTGATAAAGAAAATGCACAGAAGTGATTCTCTGTGACTTCTGTGGCTGGGTTTCTGCTGTCTCTCTTGGGACATGTATCCTGGGACCCCTAGGCCACCATATAAGAAATCGGCCACCGTGAAGGCAGCAGGCTGCAGAGACCACCTAGACGCAGCTATGCCTGGGTGACCCCCAGTTTCTTGGGTCTTCCCAGCCCAGGTGCCAGGCACCAGAATGAGCCTTTCAGAGGAGTCCTGCCCCAGCTTCAAAAGGCTGAAGCCTAAAGTGGGGGGGAGGCAGAAACAGGCTATCTCCCACCCCAGCCCTGCCTAGGAGATAGCTTCCTAAGAAATATACATTTCTTGTGACATTTCTTGTTGTTGTTTCAAGCCCCTGAGTATTGCCATGGGGAGTCCGCCGTCCCTGTACTAGACCTCAAGGGAGGGTGATTAAATTAGCAAAGGTGCAGGAAAATGTTGGGAGGACAAACCCTGGTTCGAGACGATTTGGTTTTTTGTAGAGGTTCTGACATACTTTCACGGCTGACAGCAAGACTGAAAAAAAAAATTATTACATTGCTTGTCCCTCTTTTCTTTTTTTCATTGATTTAAATATTACATAGAACTTCAGAGAATAACATATAAAATACCAATGGTCCCAGCACCTGGAACTGAGAGATGATGTTTCTTGCCCTTTTCCTGAATTTCTGCTGCCCTACTTTTATCCCCTTACCAGTTGACCTCTTGACTTGGTTTTCTCCCCAGTCTGTAGGGTTCCCAAACCCTGCATTTGCATTCATCTGTCCCCAGATTATGCACCAAGATGATGACATGGGAACTCTCTTTCAAGGGTTGGCCCAACAGATGTGCCTGTATGCTTCCAGCTTGGACTGGCCACTCTACCCCGACCCTGGACCCTCTCTGATTCCCTCAATGGGCCCCAGCTTCTCAAACTCTACCCTGCATCAGAAACACCTGGAAATTTTGCTTGAAAAGAGTCCTGGATCCCAACCCCACAAAATGTAGAGTCTATAGGGGTGTGAGGTGGGGCCCAAGAATTCACATTCTAGCAAGCTCCCACGTGCAGCTGACGCTGTTCTAAAACCTTGTTACTTTTCCCAGCCCAGGCTTCTCACCTGATCCTGAATTGTCCAAGATCCAGAAGTCATTCTTCTTGGATAATTCAAATGGATCTACCTACCCAGCAATCTGCTGCAAGTTAGCTCTGATCGTGCTGAAGCTCTCTGAGCATCATTAATGGCATCTTCCGTAGGAAGACTCCAGCTGACCTTGCAAGACTCTATTCTCACTACTGTGCATCCTTTCCTGTGCCTTATGCTTACCCAAACATGACCATTCACAATCCACCCTTTCATCAAGTCATACCAGCAAGAAATGGTAACATCCACCCTTTCTTGCCTCTATGACTTGACCCACACTTTCCCTTTCTGGCCATCTCTGCCAAAGAAACCCCATATTACCAATTTCCCAAGGAGCATCATGAGCATCAAGGAGCATGAAGACATGTTCTTCCTAATTCCCAACATCCCAATGACCATCTCCCTCCTCTGGACTATCCTCTTTTGTATACCTCCAAAATCACTTACACAGTCGGTCATTCATTTTGGTTACAGGAAGATGCCACTTCCACATTTTATGCATTTCTGAAAACACATTTTAAAGTAAAATTAGAAGGGCACTGAATTCTCCAAAAGCTAAATAATATTAAAAATTCTTTTTTGTATTAACATATAATGTATTATTTGTTTCAGGGGTACAGGTCTGTGATTCATCAGTCTTACACAATTCACAGCACTCATCATAGCACATACTCTCCCCAATGTCCATCACTCAGGCACCCCATCCCTCCCACCCACCTCCCCCTCAACAACCCTCAGTTTGTTTCCTGAGATTAAGAGTCTCTTACGGTTTGTCTCCCTCTCTGGTTTCGTCTTGTTTCATTTTTCCCTTCCTTCCCCTATGATCCTCTGTCTTTTTTCTCAAATTCCTCATATCAGTGAGATCGTATGATAATTGTCTTTCTCTGATTGACTTATTTCACTTAGCATAATACCCTCTAGTTCCATCCATGTCGTTGCAAATGGCAAGATTTCATTTTTTTGATGGCTGCATAATATTCCATTGTGTGTATATACCACATCTTCTTTATCCATTCATCTGTTGATGGACATCTAGGCTCTTTCCATAGTTTGGCTATTGTGGACATTGCTTCTATAAACATTGGGGTGCATGTGCCCCTTCAGATCACTACATTTGTATACTTGGGGTAAATACCCAGTAGTGCAATTGCTGGGTTGTACGATAGCTCTATTTTCAACTTTTTGAGGAACCTCCATACAGTTTTCCAGAGTGGCTGCACCAGCTTGCATTCCCACCAACAGTGTAGGAGGGTTCCCCTTTCTCCGCATCCCCGCCAACATCTGTCATTTCCTGACTTGTTAATTTTAGCCATTCTGACTGGTGTGAGGTGGTATCTCATTGAGGTTTTGATTTGGATTTCCCTGATGCCGAGCGATATTGAGCACTTTTTCATGTGTCTGTTGGCCATTTGGATGTCTTCTTTGGAAAAATGTCTGTTCATGTCTTCTGCCCATTTCTTGATTGGATTCTTTGTTCTTTGGGTGTTGAGTTTGATGAGTTCTTTATAGATTTTGGATACTAGCCCTTTATCTGATGTGTCATTTGCAAATATCTTCTCCCATTCTGTCGGTTGTCTTTTGGTTTTGTTGACTGTTTCCTTTGCTTTGCAAAAGCTTTTTATCTTGATGAACAAAAACAGACACATAGATCAATGGAACAGAATAGAGAGCCCAGAAATGGACCCTCAATTCTATGGTCAACTAATCTTTGACAAAGCAGGAAAGAATGTCCACTGGAAAAAAGACAGTCTCTTCAACAAATGGTGTTGGGAAAATTGGATAGCCACATGCAGAAGAATGAAACTGGACCATTTCCTTACACCACACACAAAAATAGACTCCAAATGGTTGAAAGACCCCAATGTGAGATAGGAGTCCATCAAAATCCTAAAGGAGAATACAGGCAGCAACCTCTTCAACCTCAGCCGCAGCAACTTCTTCCTAGAAACACCGCCCAAGGCAAGGGAAGCAAGGGCAAAAATGAACACCTCCTCACTTTAAATCTGGAGGTGTCTTTGCAGCTAAAATGAGTCTCTTGCAGACAGCATATGGATGGGTTTTGTTTTTTTATCCAATCTGATACCCTGTGTCTTTAAATTGGGGCATTTAGCCCATTTACATTCAGGATAACTATTGAAAGATATGAATTTAGTGCCATTGTATTGCCTGTAAGGTGACTGTTACTGTATATTGTCTGTGTTCCTTTCTGGTGTATACTACTTTTAGGCTCTCTCTTTACTTAGAGGACCCCTTTCAATATTTCTTGTAGGGCTGGTTTCATGTTCACAAGTTCTTTTAGTTTTTGTTTGTCCTGGAAGCTTTTTAATCTCTCCTTCTATTTTCAGTGACAGCCTAGCTGGATATAGTATTCTTGCCTGCATATTTTTCTCATTTAGTGCCCTGAATATATCATGCCAGTCCTTTCTGGCCTGCCAGGTCTCTGTGGATAGGCCTGCTGCCAATCTAATGTTTCTACCATTGTAGGTTACAGATCTCTTCTCCCGAGCTGCTTTCAGGATTTTTTCTTTGTCTCTGAGACTTGTGAGTTTTACTATTAGATGTTGAGGTGTTGACCTATTTTTATTGATTTTGAGGGGGGTTCTCTGTGCCTCTTGGATTTTGATGCCTGTTTCCTTCCCCAAATTAGGGAGATTCTCTGCTCTAATTTGCTCCAATACACCTTCTGCTCCCTCTCTCTTTCTTCTTCTTCTGGGATCCCAATTACTCTAATATTATTTCATCTTATGGTATCACTTATCTCTCGAATTCTCCCCTAGTGATTCAGTAGTTGTTTATCTCTCTTTTTCTCAGCTTCTTTATTTTCCATCATGTGGTCTTCCATATCACTAATTCTCTCTTTTGCCTCATAATCCTAGCAGTTAGAGCCTCCATTTTTTATTTCACCTCATTAATAGCCTTTTTGATTTCAACTTGGTTAGATTTTAGTTCTTTTATTTCTCCAGAAAGGGATTCTCTAGTATCTTCTATGCTTTTTTCAAGCCCAGTTAGTATCTTTATAATCATCATTCTGAATTCTAGTTCCGACATCGTACTAATGTCAGTATTGATTGGGTCCCTGGCAATTGGTACTGCCTCTTGTTCTTTTTTTTGAGGTGAATTTTTCTGTCTTGTCATTTTGTTCAGAGGAGAATAGATGAATGAGAGAACAAATGCTAAAAGAGTAACAACAACCCTAGAAAAATATACACTAAACAAATCAGAAGACACCTGAAACCAGGGGGCCGGGGGAGAATATGATCAGGCTGGTGAATAGAACACACTAGATTTTGGGTGTATTTTGGTCTGTTAGAAGAAACTGCCTCCCAAAATTTTAAAGACAGAAAACATATATATACAAAAATAAGGGTAAATACGATGAAAGGATGGAATATGACTGTAAAGATGAAAATTAAAAAAGATTTTTAAAAAGGAATTGACAAGATGTTGTTTGAAAAAGGAAAGAAGAAAAATTTAAAAAAAAGAAATAGAAAAAGAAAAAAATAAAGAAAATTTAAAACATTAACTTTGAAAGACTAAAGAATCATGGGAAGAAAAGCCATGAATTCTATGTGCTGTATTCCCCTAGTGCTGGAGTTCTGCCCTTCTCATTGATTGGTAAACTTGGTCTTGGCTGGCTGTTCTTGCTGATCTTCTGGGGGAGGGGTTGCCGTGGTTGCCAAATGTCTTTGCTGGAGGCGGTATTGCCCCACCCTTGCCC